TTCCTTCTTTCCTCCCTTTACCTCCCTCCCTCCTGAGTGTTCCAAACTGCCACTCGTTCTGTTTCATAGAGTCTATAAAGCATAATAATCTTTTTATGGTTTGGTCTGGTCTGGTCCGGTCTATATTGGCTAGCGGAGATGATTCCCCCCCCCCCCCCAAGATTGTGGTCACAACAGTGTGATCAAAGCTCTGACCATTTTTTCTGTGTACTGACAGAAACGCCTTCTACAAAAATCCGGTTTTTGCAACGTAACTTGATCCTTTACGGTCTAACTTCGCTTCTGAACTTAGTGGGCTTAGTTGTTGGGTGGAGCACATTTTCTTCCTGGGGAAGAGATCCTAGAAAAATCTCCCAAGGGTTTCCTTTGCCCAGTGCTTTGTTTGAAGGGGGAACGTCTTTAAGTCACCTGTTCCAGTTTAAGCAAAGGGTTCTCTGCCTGGTTGCTGGGTGGGCGTGGCCATGGTGGGCGTGGCCTAGTTGGCCTCCTGCACCATGGGGGGTTTTTTCCCTCCCCGGGCTCCTGAGGCTTTCCTCAGGCCTCTGGGAGGGCAAAAACAGTCTCCCCAGGCTCCGGAGTTTCTCTGGAGGCCGGAAACAGGCCCGTTTCCGGCCCTCCTGAACTTCCAGGAGGCCCGTTTTGGGCAAAGAGTTGGGCAAAGAAAGAGTGACTGAGGACTTCTGGGGGAGCTGCCTTAACTTGCACCACCCCCAACCAAGCTATCTAAACGTTGCCATCCCTTCAGTTCCTCTGAAATGCAGATCCCCTTCTTTCTGGGTATCCAGACTTCATTCCACCACAGTACCAAAGCGGTGGATAGCTTCTGCCTCATAGGATCAACCATCAAGCGGTGAAGAAATATGGAGACAGGGGTATCTATCCTTGAGAACTTTTTAAGACCTGTGAGCTTCAACTCCCAGAATCCCCCGGATTCTAGAATCTGTAAAACCTGAAACAAAACCAACATAGGCAAATCAGCTATCAGTTCTCTTTAGAATTTCCTCAAATTCGAGCAATCAGAAGTTCACCTGGATAAAGAAACTACCAGGAGGTAGCATTCTTAAGATGCCCACGATATGGGTCAATCAGAGATGAATTCCATTGATAGAGAGAATTCTTTATTGGCCAAGTGTGATTGGACACACAAGGAATTTGTCTTGGTGCAAATAATCTCAGCGTACATAAAAAGAAAAGATACATTCGTCAAGAGTCAAGACTCATCAGGTACCACACTTAATGATGGTCATATGGAACAATAAGCAATCAAATCATACTAGGAAACAGTCAATATAACTCGTAAGGATACAAGTGACAAAGTTACAGTCCTACAGTCACAATTGGGAGGGGATGGGTGATTAGGAGTGCTGAGAAGATTAATAGTAATAATAATGCAGACTTTGTAAATAGTTGGACAGTGCAGAAGGAATTATTTGTTTAGCAGAGTGATGGCTTTCGGGAAAAAACTGTCCTTATGTTTAGTTGTTCTGGTGTGCAGTGCTCTATAGCGTCGTTTTGAGGAGGAGTTGAAACAGTTTATGTCTGGGATGTGAGGGGTCTGTAAATATTTTCACAGCCCGCTTTTTTACTTGTGCAGTATACAGGTCCTCCATGGAAGGCAGATTGGTAGCCATTGTTTTTTTCTGCAGTCCTAATTACTCTGTGAAGTCTGGGTCTGTCCTGTTGGGTTGCAGAACCAAACCAGACAGTTATAGAGATGCAGATGACAGACTCAATCATTCCTCTGTAGAACTGGATCAGCAGCTCTTTGGGCACTTTGAGTTTTCCGAGTTGGCGCAAAAAGAACATTCTTTGTTGTGCTTTTTGGATGACGTTTTTGATGTTAGGTGTCCATTTTAGGTCGTGATATGATAGAACCTAAAAATGTGAAGGTCTCCACTGTTGATACTGTGTTGTCTAGTATTGTAAGAGGTGGTAGTGGAAAGTTTATTTAAAATCCAGATTGCTCAGCTATAAATGCAGCTGCTTATTTAGTGTTCACTCAGTTGCTTGTGAGCTGCCAAGAAGTGTGCAACAGTGATTACTTTACTTCGAAAGATGCCAGCCATGGTTGATGGCTTAACATCAGGATACCAAATAATTAAACCGCGGGCATTTAGCCCAGAAGCTCATCGTGCTGGCCACTAAAACACATACTAATATATCTTCCTTATGGTTTTCTGAATTATGTCTTCCTCCAGGGTGGGACTTCCCTAGCAGCATTGTTAGCTCTTATCTCAAAAGAGTTGCTTGTATGCGCAGGTTAATTCATCTTAGTTAGAACCTAGCTGATTAAGAACAAACAAAAGTTGATTTATTTGTATCCCGCCTTTATTATATTTACAAATAACTCAGCAGCCAACATATCCAACACACCTTCCCCCTACCTATTTTCTCCACAGAAACAATAATCTGTGAGGCGAGTTGAGCTGAGAGAAAGGGACTGGCCCATAGCCACCCAGACAGCCTTCATGGCTGAGGTGGGAATTGAACTCACAGTCTTCTGTTTTCTAGCCTGGTGCCTTAATCACTAGTCTAACTCTTCTAATTTCTCTAAACTTTAGACTCCACTGGGTTCTTTAAAACAGGGGTCCCCAACCACCGGTCCGCAGACCGGTACCGGTCCGCGGAACAAGTCCTACCGGGCCGCTGGTTGCTGGGCGCCACC